TTGTAATATGAAAATATAAAAACAGCAAGGTAACTAATGATAAAAGTGAGCGTAAACGGTATTGCAATGCGTTGAAACAAGGCCTAGGGTTCATACTTTCACTAGTGCAAGTTCTCTCAACAATAATAACATAATTGGATCATATAACTATCCCTCAACATGCAACAAAGAGTCACTCCAAAGTCACTAATAGCGGAGAACAAACGAAGAGATTATGGTAGGGTACGAAACCACCTCAAAGTTATCCTTTCTGATCGATCTATTCAAGAGTCCGTAGTAAAATAACATGAAGCTATTCTTTCCGTTCAATCTATCATAGAGTTTGTACTAGAATAACACCTTAAGACACAAATCAACCAAAACCCTAATGTCACCTACATACTCCAATGTCACCTCAAGTATCCGTGGGTATGATTATACGATATGCATCACACAATCTCAGATTCATCTATTCAAACCAACACAAAGTACTTCAAAGAGTGACCCAAAGTTTCTACCGGAGAGTCAAGACGAAAACGTGTGCCAACCCCTATGCATAGGTTCATGGGCGGAACCTGCAAGTTGATCACCAAAACATACATCAAGTGGATCAATAGAATACCCCATTGTCACCACGGGTATCCCACGCAAGACATACATCAAGTGTTCTCAAATCCTTAAAGACTCAATCCGATAAGATAACTTCAAAGGGAAAACTCAATCCATTACAAGAGAGTAGAGGGGGAGAAACATCATAAGATCCAACTATAATAGCAAAGCTCGCGATAGATCAAGATCGTATCACCTCAAGAACACGAGAGAGAGAGAGAGAGATCAAACACATAGCTACTGGTACATACCCTCAGCCCCGAGGGTGAACTACTCCCTCCTCATCATGGAGAGCGCCGGGATGATGAAGATAACCACCGGAGAGGGATTCCCCCCTCCGGCAGGGTGCGGGAATGGGTCTAGATTGGTTTTCGGTGGCTTCGGAGGCTTCTGGCAGCGGAAGTCCCGATTCTATTCTGCTCCCTGATGTTTTTAGGGTATATGAATATATATAGGAGGAAGAAGTACGTCGGTGGATCTCCGGGCTGTCCACGAGGCAGGGGGCGCGCCCAGGGGGTGGGCGCGCCCCCACCCTCATGGGCGGCCTGGGACTCTTCTGGCCCATCTCCGATACTCTGTGCGCTTCTTCTGGTCCAAAAATAAGTTCCGTGAAGTTTCAGGTCAATTGAACTCCGTTTGGTTTTCCTTTTCTGCGATACTCTAAAACAAGGAAAAAACAGAAAATGGCACTGGGCTCTAGGTTAATAGGTTAGTCCCAAAAATCATATAAAATAGCATATAAATGCATATAAAACAACCAAGGTTGATAATATAATAGCATGGAACAATCAAAAATTATAGATACGTTGGAGACGTATCACGTGTGCAAGTATGTTTGGCCTCAGAACGGATAACGGAAGGAACGGTGAGGCCGGGACGGATGCAAGTTTTAAAAACATGAGGATGCAATGCACATGATGACATGATGAATGCGATGAATAAATAAATAACACGACTGACACACAAAACATGGAAGGCGTCTGAAGCGTCGGTCTCGGGGCGTTACATGAACCCACTATAGAGATTGAGATAGGATTGAATAATTCAGTGCTTTATGTGATATAGGGGCAAGTGTTTCCACTATCCCCAAATTTGTTTTTGATAGTCTCAATCTCGGTCCTTATGCTAATACCGAGATCGTTTTGAATATGGCTAACTCTACTTTTACTCAGGTAGTAGGCATTAAGCATGATGTTATAGTTCAAATTAATGATTGCCCTGTCATGATTGATCTTGCGATAGTAGATATGCCTGAGGATCCAATTGCTCCTATAATTCTCGGTAGACCTTTTCCAAGGACTATAAAAATTGTGATAAACGTATTTGAGGGGAATGTGATATTTGATTTACCAGCTAAAGATCCTTTTGTGAGACATTTCCCCAGGAAAAAAATGAAGAACTATGCAGGAGAAGGCATCATCGTGAATGCCAGAAGCTATGATCTCGGTGTGTTTGCACCACCTTGATCATCACTACGGTTGAGCTAACCGACCGAAAATAAGCACCCACGCGAATAAAGTAGACAAATAAGTTTTTATTTTTTGTTTCAATAAAAGGGGGCCCAACAACCCCATTCGTCGATTGATCGATCTCCTCCAGTGCTCGTGCTTGATGACGTCACCGTGAAGCTCCTACGCGAGCAGGAAACCCCCGAAGTTTGGAGGCTCTCGTACATAGTGAGGTCGATCCAGCCAATTTTGTGAAGCTCGACCTCGCATCGGCAGGTCCATCTCATCTCTTGTCGCACTGGATAGTACATGAGGACTGTAGTGATGAGAGAGAAGAGAGAAGAGGAAGGCGACCGGGCAAGCCGATTGTGCGTGTTTTCCCCCCTCAACGGATGGTATGTGCGTAGGTTTGATTTGACACAACCGTTTTTTCTTTTAGCT